GTAGATTGTGTAGCTGCTAACTAATTCACTTTGGCATTTGCCTTCCTCTAATCAACATTTTCCCCTCTTGCTGACAGACAGTACAGCATCATCTGATCTTGATGCCTTGATCTACAAGGTTGGGCTCCAAAACTGCCTCATCTCCGATTTTTTTATCCACAAGGTCCGCTATCAACTACTTTCATTTCTGCTTGCATCTACGACCACATCCACTGCAACGACTGTATTTGCAATGCGTTTGGCTGTTTTCATCCTCCTTGCTTCGATAGCACTATCAGAAGGCGTCATGAAAAATAAAAAAACCAAACAAAAGTACCATCATCTGAATTTGCGTAAGAATAAACTCTCTTCAGTCGGGGGAACGCGAGGTACAACTATTCCTCGGGTTGAAAGTCATCTCTTGGAAGGTCCAACCAAGCAACTCGATAAACTTGCTTTAATGCAACCTCGCGACGAAATGAACCGGTTGCAAGCGGCTCTTGGTAAGCTTCTTGAATCAAAAGCTAAGCCATGAAATAGAATTAAATACACCACAACATTGAGCTTAAATACAAAAGTATAGTCAACTCTAGCATTCAAATATTAACTTTTGTACACCAATGCTTGGCAACGACATTTTGCGCAACTCTGATTCAGTGCCTTTAAAATTTGGCCGATTTCCAAAAAGCTTCTGAAACATCCCTAAACTAGAATCTCTCACGTAAAAAGTTTGGGCAACGAGACATTTCGTCAGATCTTGTATCAGAGATCTGGATTCGCAATGAATCGTTAGCCTCTCTGCCAATACGCTATTAAGACCCACTGGTGCAAACTGTTGGCAAGAGCACGTCTCGACAGCAGCCGTACGCTGAGCATCAGGATATATAGAGAAGTGTGTATACGGTGGTATGACAGACCTGGTATAAGATAATCAGCTAGAAATTGAGTAGAATATTTGACAGAAACAGTCAAAGGTAGTGAGTAGCACAGGAAAGCAAATTAAGGACGTATTTACTTTGCATTTCTTTAACAGTGCTCACATCGACCATTGATTAAAAATGACAGAATTGAGCTTGCTGTAAAGAAAATTCAAGCTTTGTCCTTTACTGCAAAACTATGAAGCTTTATATATAAATGATACTTACCATTTCCAGTGATCACGGGATGCTGACAAGAGCGTCTCGTCATATGCAGCTGAGTATTCGGCATCGATTAGCCAAACAAGTGCTAGTCCAGGTGCTACAGATATGATAAAGCACGTCATGGGCATGGCACAAGAGTGTCCGAACACTGTGTTTGTGCTCGGTGGCTACTCACAAGGTGCCAGCGTTGCCGATATTGCCATTGGAATTAGCACCTCGCTTGGTGTCAGTGAATGAGACTTTGGCTCCTCGTATCAAGGCTATCATGAAATTTGGTAATCCATTGAAGCTCCAAGGTCAAACGATCGAATCGTCGAGCCAGCTATACGGCTCAAAAGCAGGTGAATACCGT